TAAAAACATCAATACATAATGGAATTTAGTTAGATAATAAAAATTAGGAAAGAATTATTTCAGTGATATTGACAGATTAATCTGCAAGAGCCTTACAATTGTGATGGAGAGTTATGCAGAATTATACTAAAAATACAAGATCAAGCAAATGTCCCTAATAGAAAAATAAGTAGATTACCATAGTTGTCCATTTCCAGAGCAGGTATTCCAGTATTTATTTTGTCAGCCGTAGATAAGGTGGTAAGGCAAAATGGTGAAGAAGCAAACTACCGGTAACAAATCTCGACCCGAAGTGCTTACGACACACAAAAAATTATGTAGCTCTTCTGCATTGAGCTGCTTTTTTCACAATTTATTTTTTCCACACACTTGAGTCTTAGCTCAGTCTTTGGAAAACAATGTAATTTACATTATGACGCTTGCTTTTGCAATGCGAAACACAACAAGCATTCTTCATGATGAGTACACAATTTTTAACGTGAGAGGATAAGCATGGAATTTTAACACTTCAAAGTAATTTCATTCGATCAAATCCAAATTTCCAAAACTCCAACAAACTGTAATGAAATTGAAAATTTGAAATAATGAATACAGAGTATCTTTGTATAAACCACAGAGTACTTTTTTATAAATAGGAAGTATAAACCATAGGTATAAACTGAAAATAATGAAAGGAGTATCCTGTTCCTATACTATATCCTCTTAATGGTCTCTGTTCTCTGTGAATAAAAGTTATGGAAGTTTGGAACTCAATCTGTGGTAATAAGAAATGTCATTTTCCAAACTACCGGTTTGAATCTATGGTTGAAAATAAGGGCTAATTTTATTGTTCTAAGATTCTATGCCGTGGTAAATAGCTTCATAGCACTCGACTGTGATAAGTGTTCTTTCGTTATTTGGTTATGAAAGTATTCATTATTCTCTTTAATTTAATTTTACCTAGGCCTCGTATTCCCTTCATTCTAGTATTTATTTTGTCATTTTTTGTTTCCGCTGTTTTGGTGTCATTTTGAAAAATTTGATATTGATTTTGAATGCATAGTTTTAAATTGCATTTAAAACAGAGTGTATTGAAAGCGCTACTTTTTCTATAAAATTAACTAATCTATAATTGGTGATGACCATTTAGGTACTCTTTACAAGATATTTTATTTTGAACCTTTATTTTTACTAAAATTTAAATTACTTTGGCGTCCACATAAATTTTAGTATAATGAAAGAAGGAATATAAGTTATATACTCGAATCATCCTGTGGGTGTTGTAAGCGGCGACAGAGGTTTGTGGCAGGAAGAATGTAATATCAACTAAAAATAATCACCCTGACTACTGATTGTGGTAGCTTTGGTAAATATACTCTAAAGGCAGTGTGGTGGTCCTTGTTCAGCAGTGAACTTCTGATAAGCTGCAATTAATTGTGAAAAATTATACTATGAGGTTCTGATCAGTCTTGACTGTTGTGAAAATTAGATGTAATACAATTATTCTTATGAAAGATTAAATACACAACACAATTTTAACTTTTATAAATTAAAGACATTGAATGGATCACTTAAGGTTGTAGTACTCTGCTGTAAGAGGAATTTATTTATACATACATACATAAGCATTCACATCTGTCACCCAGAGGGGTAGACAGAGACCACAGAGTTCCATTTGGCACAATCCTGACACACCTTTCTCACCTTTTTCACATCCATATACCTACACATACATGCTTGTTGGTTAAGGGTACTCTTAATTTGGCCACTGGCTCTTAATATTGCCAATTTGGTCGACAAACTTTCGCCTAGGGCGTCCCTAACCGACTGCCGTTCACTTCTGCAACATAAATTTGCTTTGTCACTGTTTCCTCATTCATTCTTTCTACATGACCAAAAAAAAACCACTGAACCATTTCTTTCTTAATCCTGATCACAACATCATCTTGCATACCACACTTCTCTTATTACACAATTTCTCACCCTGTCATTCAGACTTAGCTCTTACATATTTATTTATGTGACTATTTTTACAACATTGGAGCATGTGACACTCGTTAGTCCATTTCAAAGGGTCAAAAAATTTGACTATAGTGTATAAAAGTTAGTTAAAGTTACGGCTTATATATGTCCTACTGATGGGCACTGGCTTCTCATTCCTGAGATGATTTTAGGGCAAGCAAATGTTCAAATGCCTGTAAACGAACTTCATGTCTTCTAAATATATCTTTTTTTATTTCTCATACATGCAGGTTTCGTCACTGTGTTTTCCTTCACTGCTGAGTATGTGTTAAATCAGCGCTCAAAATTGTAAATAACAATTTCATTGGTGCCATTGGGGATCAAACCTAGGTGAAAAGTATTACCTGCCTTATAGTTATAATTGTGTGGATATTATGTGGAAATTATTTAATTACTTTTAGTTGGTTTTACTTTATAAAGTTTAATTTTTTGTGTGTCCTCTGGTCAAAGAATATTTAATTTATTAGCTATTAGCTGGTACCCTCTTAGGTGGTGGAGATATTTTAAATTTGGAGTTTTTATATTGGTTAATTAGGAATTTTATTACATTTATTGAAATTGAATGGTACAGTATAATCTCACTAATCCGGCACTATTAAAAACCGGAGGGTGCCGGATTATTGGAATGTTCGGATTATTGGATTATAGTGAAAAAGTCATAGGTAAAGAATAAAATAAAGTATTTCATAGAGGGAGTCAATGTATGTAATGTATTCGATTAACATGTAGGTACATATGTGATTAACTATGTAGTTTTAAAATAATCCTTAATTGAGGTCTGCTTTTGTGCAACTTGTAGTCCTTGCTTAAAAACCTTTTCTCGCATGTTGCGAAGAATTATAATATCTTTGGCAGACATGCCGTTTTCTTCTGCCCATGTTATGCACGTATTGAAACACATCAATGCATTATCTGGTTTAACTCTTATAGCAGTTGTAGTAGTTGGTGGCTCTAATATTTCTACAAAGCTTTCTTCTTGTACTGCTTCAGATATTATTTCTTCATCTGTCATAATTTGCTCTGTTTCTTCGATTCCTTCAAACCAAGAATTTAAATTTTCCTCACTTGTCTCCAATCCTTTTTCTGATAGATTTTTTAACCAATCGACAATAGGCATATTATCTTCAGGATCCCATTCATCTGTTTCTTCTGTTTCTGATACATCATTCATTGTGGGCCATAACTTTTTCCATGAAGATTGGATTAAGTTAGATGAAACAGACTTCCAAGCATGAGCGAGAGAGAATACAACATCCTTCAAATTCATTCCTTTAAGGCTCTGCGTTATATCACCATCCTGAGATATAATATGGATCAGCAATTTATTTTTATACAAAGACTTTATTTTTTGGATAACGTTTTGATCCATCGGCTGCAGTAAAGGTGTGCAGTTTGGTGGTAAGAAGATGGTTTGGATATTCCCATCACTTGATTTAAGTTCTTGTTCGTTTGGGTGGCCTGGAGCATTGTCAAGTACGAGTAAAGCTTTTATGGGCAAGTTAGATCTTTTCATAAATTTTCTTACTTCTGGGACAAAGTCTTTATGAAACCATTCGCTAAATACCTCTCTCGTGACCCAACTTCTACTTTGGTTCTTGTAACAGACTGGCAGACAAATGTTCTTGAAAGCTCTGGGATTTTTTGCTTTGCCAATCACTAATAAATCCAATTTGTGCGTTCCAGTAGCATTTGAACACGGCATGAATGTGATTCTGTCTTTACTCACTTTACGACCTGGTGCACTTGCTTCTGTAGAATACACGAATGTTTTATTGGGCAACAGTCTCCAGAACAGACCACTCTCATCTGCGTTATAGATTTGATCAGGAAGAAGACCCAGTTCTTCTACTTTGTTTTTGAAATGCTGGATAAATGGCTGTACTGCAGATTCGTCGCTTGATAATTTCTCACCCGATACTGTTAAGAGACGGATACCAAATCGCTTTTTAAATTTATCCAGCCATCCATCGCTGGCACGAAAATCATCTTTGTGGGTAATTTTTTTATAAAATTCGATTGCTTTGGTTTTCAGAATTTCTCCAGATATAGGAGTGTGTTTAGAACGCCGTTGCAAGAACCACATGTAAAGAGCGTTTTCCATCTTTGGACAATCGCCAACTTTTAGTGTTTTACGCTTTCCTGGCCCCGATTCCATTGTCTTGACGTGGTCTACTATCTTTTGCCTTTTTTTCTTAAGATCGTGTATAGTAGCACGCCCAACACCATATTCTTTTGCCAATTTGCACATGTTTTCTCCACTATCTAACTTCTTTAAAATCTCCATTTTATTATTCAAATCTAGTGTCTTGTGTTTGCGTTTATTTGACATTTTTAACTATAAACTATTCTCACTTGGAAAAAAAAAACAAATACGTAAGCACGTGCACGTGATAAGTTTTGAGGTTAGACTGCTCGTCGATGACGCAGCGACCGAAGCGCACAGGTATAGAGGGGCGAGGGAGGCGTGGGCGGAGGGTGCCGGATTATTGGACGTGCCGATCTATCGAAGTGCCGGATTAGTGAGATTATACTGTATATTACAACAACATTCTACTAAATTTGCCAGTACATTCCGCATGCCATCTAGGGTAATTTAATTGTACTATTCCTATAACCTTCGCACAAGTACGAGCAATAAGTTGACAAAGTTATACCACAATCTGATCAATGGTTGTATGGCAGCATATAAAATACAAACAAACAAACATATTAACTTTTATATGTAGATAATAAACTTGACTACTATCCGTGCTGTCCGTGTATTTTGTCTTCTCCAGTGTAAGAATATTTAAAGGTTTATTTTAACTAATAAAAGCTCTTGACTACTGACCCACCAGATGGTAACTAATGGTGTATCTGAAGATGGTAAAGCACTCAATGCAGCCAAGTTCAACAAAATCCTATTCACTCTCACCTTAAAGACTCATTACTTATTTTTAGGCTGACTGGATAAGCTGGAAGTGTAACAATTTTTTTATTATTGCAGAATGTCAGTCAAAATGGTGAGGTCTGTGAATGTGGTGCCTATGGTTAAATCGAAGGTATATTTTTTTATTCTAATTTAAAACTAGTGTTTAGTTAGTCCTGTGTGATGGAGGTCGATATCTTCGTGAGGGTATTGTAAGAGATGATTATGGGATATGCTAAGAAGATGGATACTATGAAATGAATACTATGAAAAAAAATTTTGACCAACTATGATTCTAGTATTCAAACAACACACATCTTAGGGAGCATTACCTTAAACATGTTGGAGCCACACTGCAGTTTTATTATGCTTGTAGAACGAATTGGTCAGTTTTACCGGGGTAGGACTACACTCTCACAGAATAGCAGCGTAAAATAGCAGCTCAGTGCTGTTGTGTTTCGTGTGGTGAGTGTAGAGAATCAGAGACCCTCTTTTCAGCCTCTTTTTTTCTTCTCTCATAGAATACATATAATAGCAGCTTAATGCTGCTTTGTTTTATATGGTGAGTGTAGAGAACCGGAGACCCTTTTCACTGAAAACAAGGCATTCCATCTCAGTTTGCAGGTGTGATAACGCATCTGCAGCAAAGTCAGCAAAACCAGCGGGACTTTTTTAAAAGCATAACTTACAATATAATATTTTTACAATGATGACTTTATGGCCTTACAAAGTGATTAACAATTATAATGTGATGGAGCCATGCTGCAACAATATTATGATTACAGTATGAATGGGTCGGTCAACGATCAGGGAAGAAACCCACTCAAATTAATGCTAATCTGTTGCGTATGGTGAATGTAGAGAACTGGAGACCGTTTTTACTGGGGATGAGGCATTCTATTTTAGCTGTTAAGAGTGCCACAATATTTATGTTTTGATTCTTAACTGGTGATAAATGTCCATAATTATATAGCACCAATTACTGTTCACTATGATACAATTCCTTAAGGCAGAGGTGTCAAAATCGATCTTCTCTAATACTAAAAAAGGGTATGCTAATAATTATTCTGAGTATACTTGTAGCCTAGACTCAAAATAGATTGAAGCATAGAGAAATCTTTATTTAGAGACAGTGAAAAGCTTGCAATTTAAAAAATGTATAGAGATGGCATCATCGGATTTATTTAACTTTGTTTATATGTAAGCCTCATAGCTAAAGTCGTAATATACAAACTTAAGGTCCAATTTACACTTCGATAAGTACAGTGGCTAGTATAGTTACAGGGCAGTTGACAGTAAACGGTTAAATGGGCAGTAGCGTTCAAATGTCTGGCGAGTTTAGTGAAAAAAGTCCAATTTTGTATTTTGAGGGTCGAACGCGGACTGAACTGAACTAAACTCGCACATTCATCCGAGTGGCGAGCTTAGTTGCGCGTGGCGCGGAAGGGCAACACTTCAAACTTGACTCGCCGAAAAATAGACTGGCCAGCTAAACCCATTCAACTTAACTGTTAATTTGCTATCTAAATCTCTAATTGCCATTCAAACGAGAGTTTTTACTTTACTCACCAGGTTCTCAAGTTAACTCGCTACTGTGCTTGTCGTAGTGTAAGTTGGCCTATGGGTAACTATGTACTTAGCCTAGAAGTAGTGAAATTGCTCACAGCTAAGCAACTCCTTCAATTCATTGAAGACATAAGACTTAGCAGTGAACTATAGCCAAAGCAGCAATCACAATAGATCCTGCATAACTGCTTGCACAGTTAAAAAGTAAACCTTGTAGTGGCATGGTAAGAAAACCCACTAACTACCCCATATAATCCTGTGGTAATCGTAAGAAAGGACAGAGGGAAACTGAGATAGGAGATGGGCGTCGGCAACTTCCTCATTACAATAGTGCCATATCATAAACACTCACGCCTGTCATCCAGAGGAGTAGGCAGAGACTACAGACTTCCATTTAGCACGATTCTGACATACTTTTCTCGCCTCCCGCACACATGCTCGTCGGTTAAGGGTACTCTTAATTTGACCCATTTTCAATATATCGCTAATTTGGTCGATAAACTTGCAATGGGACGTACCTTTCCAACTCTGCCGTTCACTTCTGCAACATAAATTTGTTTTGTCACTCTTTTCTCATTCTTAGTTTAGTTAGTTTAGTTTACGACGGGCTGTTTTCCGCAACTCCACGTCTAAGCGCGTATTTTGGGTGTGGGCAGGAATAATGTAGTTATTCGAGCCATATTTCCCCGAAGAAGTTCAACAGTTCTTTGATGTTGCAAGCAACTTCGGGGAGCGATCCCGGCGTGCCGAGATGTTTAGCCCTGTATGAAGCGATTTCTGGACATGTCGGCAACACTTGAGCTGCCGTTTCTTCCTCTCCCATGCATGCCCTGCACAGGGGGCTATCAGTAACATCTATGGTGAACAAATGTTTGTTAAAAGAGCCATGTCCTGTGATAGCACTTGTTACTATCCTGATCTGTCTCTCATTCTTTCTGCATAACCAAACCACCGAAGCATCCCTTTCTTAGTCCTGATTACAGCATCATCTTGCTCTTCCTCATTACAACTCAAAATAAAAAACTGTAGTTCCTAACCCGCCTTTCAAGCGTGGAACTATGGCAGGTATCCCATTCTCTTATGTTCTCCCATGTTACGGAGGCTTATGTTCAGATGTAGGGCTTATGCTGTTATGAGTGAATGATGAATGGATTCGCGATTGTTGGTGACTTAAAAAATCTCCATATTAGGATCTTGACTGATGGATGACGTTTAAGTTTTTTTATAGGAGAAGGGTGACAAACGAGCACACAGTCCACCTGATGGTAAGTGGTTGCTGTGGCCCATAGGCATCTACATCTATCCTCCATAACAAATCAAAATGCATATGCATTGTCACCCATGAAGACTAAGATGGAATGCCTCGTATCCAGTATATAGGGTCACCGGTTCTTTACACTCACCATACGATACACAGCAGCGGTAAACTGCTATTTTACGCTGGTATTCTGTGAGAGCGTATATCTACCTCGGTCGAGCTGACCCATTTGTGCTACAACTGTATAGCTGCAGCATGACTATTCTATATAAGATTCCTTTTGTGGCTCTACATGACTGCCTTATGGTAAACACAACAAGTAAATAAATAAATAAACAAATAAAATTGTCTTACAGAAAGTGATACTTTCAAAAATTATGGTTGAAGACACAGTTTCATGCAAGTTATGCTCCAAAAATTTCGCAAGTGAGGTAGCCCTTAGGAACCATGCACGAATGGAGCACATAGATGCGTTTGCGACGGGAGACCCATCCGTTTGGACAAAAGTACTTTCGGTGAGTTGGAGAAGACTCAATAGCTCAAGTCTGTATGTACTACTGCTTTGTTTTAATGATAATAATGATCAAATCTTGGATGTTATTGCTTCCAAAGTAGAGTTGATGATAATAATGCCATCCTGACCGTATTTCGGCCACGGCGGCCTGCCTCAACGGAGGCTAGCCATCGGCGCAGGACAGGATTATAGTGCACAAGTGTATGCGCAAGCACAGGTGCACTTTCTATTCCCTCACTCTCATAATCCAATGGGACTGTAAACTGACACGACCGGAGAGAGATCAGGCGCAGGACCAACGGCTTTACGTGCTTTCCGAGGCACGGGGGTGAGACACCGCTAACTTCCTGGCTCCGGGCAACTACTGAGAAATTCTTGACGTAAAGACTCAATAATTAATTTTTTGGCCCAATCCGGGATTCGAACCCAGGACCTCATGATCAGCAGTCGCACTACTACAACCACTAGGCCAACGAGGCAGTCAAAGTGAAGAGAGTTGATGATAACTGCCCCTTAAATCCGCTACCACCATTGTGAAGCTGATAAATATATCACAAAATCTCCGCAGCTCATGGGTAGATGGTGATGTGATATGCTATCCAGCCAATAAGGAAATAGTATTTGAATACAACATCACTAATGGACAGTTAATGTTTTCAAAACTTTCATCTTTTCTCTACATAGTATAAAATAAAGTTGCTTCCACCCGTACGCTTAGATCTTTTAAATTACACAACAGATTTTGATGCGGTTTTCATCAATAGACAAAGATTCAAGTGGAACGTTTATATGTATAATACATGCATATTATAATAGAGAAGGGCGGGTCGCTAGTTTTTGTATATAATAAGTAGTATTTGAAATTGTGAGGTGTGGCAGAAGTATGAGAGTAAAATTAAACCCGACTTTCCACTATGGGATATAATGTAATTTATATTACATCTCGAGATATAAATTAATATCGCTCACCGTACTTTTAAATGGAACCGTTTCCACTGAGATATAATATATTTTACATCCCAAACTATAAATATTTTTTCGATCGACTGAGCACATGGAAGATATTTGTCATACAATTTATATTTCAATGTACCAATATATATATATATATATATATATATATATATATATATATATATATATATGGTTTTGGTTTTTGGTTTTCTTGCCAGGACTTTTATATATGAATATATAATACTCTTAATTGATTAGCATGCATGGATATATGGATGTGAAAGTAGCAAGATAGGTTGTGTCAGGATCATGCTAAATGGGAGTCCATAGTCTCTGCCTAACCCTCTGGGTGACAGGTGTGAGAGATTGTGTTATGTTATGATACATGAATTTTTTTCTCAGTACTTACTACACACGCAAAATATTTGCAAGCCACACACAAATACACACGCATCATCATCATCATTACAGGCCTTCACAAGTCCACTGCTGAACATAGGCCTCCCCCAAGTAATGCCACAAAGCACGGTCCTGAGCCACCTGCATCCATCGACTTCCTGCATATCTTACCAGGTCGTCACTCCATCTAGTGGGGGGTCGCCCTTCACTACGCCTACCGGTACGAGGCTGCCACTCGAGAACCTTTCTTCCCCATCGGTTATCGGTTCTTCGAGCTATATGGCCGGCCCATTGCCACTTCAGCTTACTAATCCGTTGGGCTATGTCGGTCACTCTGGTTTTACTGCGGATATCCTCATTTCTGAGTGCCGTGTAGTGGCGGTTAAGAATATCCACTACCCCATATCTTCCCGTGGGTGTCGTAAAAGGCGACAGAGGGAGACAGGCAGGAGATGGGCGCTTTCCTGATAACAGCAACTGTACGACAAAAAAAAAACTGCGGTTGCCAACCCGCTCGCCAAGCGTGGCAACTATGGCAAAATGAACAGAAATACACACGCACGCACATAATGTTTACAAAAACAAGATTTACATAAACACTGTGTTGTGTGGAATGCGTACATTCACAAAATAACTTAGCTTTGTAATGTTACAAAATGCTGTGGGTTCTGCAGACATTAAAAAAAAGCCTGAGTGTATTGGTTTTTTTACTTTCGATATTTTTTATAATTTTCACAAATTTCTCAATAGCCCAAAAGACCGTCAATAGATAAAGAAGATCAGACAAATGAGATTGAAGAGAAAAATAAGGAGCTTATAGCCACCAACTCAATGTCCCGGACATCGAGAGACGTCGGTTACATTATTGTGAGGCCAGAAGATTGCTCCGAGCCAATTAAGAGGAGAAGCTTGGGTAAGACGGAAAATAAAAAGAAACGAACAAAAGTTGTTAAACCGAAGAAGGATAAAGAACCTCTGCCCATAACGTGAGTATAATATTTCATCTTGGTGACCAGTTATTTTTTCATTAGAGCCTGATCGGATCGGTAGTATCAATAAGTGTTCCAAGGGGCTCGATTCTTGGGTCGTCCCTGTTCATAATCTTGTAGGGGACAATCACGATATGGTATTATTTGTTGATGATACCTCTTTAATTTACAAACTCAAACGACTATCAATTACTTTTGACAATGCAAATAATGCTATATAATTATGTGAACAATATTTATGCCAACATTTTGCTCAATGGCAATATGACAAATTGTATTAAATTTACATTACCTTATGTTAAACATTCAAATGTGCTCTTAAATGGGGAGGAGTTTAGTCTTTTGGATACCACTGTTTTCTAGGTATTACAATTGACATAATTATATAATATAATACAGGTGCACTCTATTGCCTCACTTATAGTTCGATGACATGGCAATCCTACAGGACCAGAGAAAGATTAAGCGCGAGATCAATGTAAAGATATGCTCTCCGGGGAACGCGACTGACACACCACCAAATTTCTGACTCCAGGCTGATACTGAGAATTTTTTGCCGAAAAATTTTAATAACTGTTTTTTAATGATTACTTGACCAACGAGGTAGTCGGGCGGTACACTATAATATTATTTTCTTTATATGCACGACATGACAACTGCACCTCACATCTACTATGGAGTGTAGAAGCAAGGAGTACAGACTGTATTAAAAAGTGTCCATAGAAAACCGTTAAATAAGGGTGGCGCCACTACGGGCTAAATTTTAAAGGACGTGCCGAAAAATATTAGTGGAATAGACGACTTTTTCGAGGTTATATTTACTAAATAAAATTATTTTAGATTTTATAGCTACTAAGCAGTTTAGCAACACACTTAAACCGTCGACAACTGCTAAGTTCATTTCATCCCAGTAGCTACTCCAGCGCTGTTGTGGAGAGTTTTTGAACTGTTATTTACTGCTTACATATGGCCACTTTTTCAACTATTTTACTAAGGGAGTTGGTACTCCTTGCTTCTACACTACACTACTTACATCTACCTTTGACATATCACCTGTATTTGACTTACCTAGTTCTATTTACTGGGTTTTTCCGTCAAGAAATTCTCAGTAGTATAGCACAGAATAAATAATAGTTCAAGAACAGAAGCATCACTCTATGATAGCAAACTTGCGAATTTAAACCTAGTTATAACGTTCATTCATAATACTTTGCACGCCTCGGAACCGACCTTCGTGAAAGTCGATAAAAAAATTATTGCTGCGCACGTATTGAATCAAAATGCACCTTACGTCCGCGTGCGAGTGTCTGTATCACTTAGACCGTTACGCGACTTTGTTAGGGCCACTCCTACTGTAGGATTAGCCCCCTCAAACGGGTTTCCGCCTTGTCGTGGAGGGGGGGGGGCTTAGCAGACGTGGCTTGGTCACCCGCGGTGAACAAAGAGGAACCCACATGGCTCGCCTGACGTGTCCAATCCGAGTGTGCTTGGCGAACCAACTTCGGATGTGTGCTGGTGGGCTGCGGTGAGAGGGATGTCCGCTCTCCCTACCACTGCAGCCGAGGTGGAGTCGCGAAGGTAGTGGAGTGTAGGTATGCCTTTGCGACTCGAGATTCGCCGCTGGAGTCAGGAAAGCTAGTGCTTCTAAGTGTTCGTTTTTCCTGGCCGCACGACCTTCGCGCATCGGACACGAGTGCGTCCGTTGCGTAGATGTAGTTGGAAGACGTGGAGGAAGGCGCGCCATGTGTTCTGGTGCGCCTTACCTGAGAAAGAGAAGGGGGAGGAGTAGTCCTTACCCGAGGAGGCGCCGCCATGGGGCGTGCGACGCTGATGGGGCCGCGAATGTGTGCGAAAGCGTTCCCGTGGCCCTGTCAATATGTGACGAAGGTGGAACACCATGGGGTTTTAGTAGGTGCGAGTCCGACATATCCTGTCCTTGCTCCTGCGAGGCGGGTATGAGTAGGCATATATCCATGTAAAAAACGGTGTGAGAAAAAAAATTGAATTCTTTGATATTAGTTGGTAGTAGAATACATCAAGATGTTATGCAATGTATGCAATTTACCAGTAATTTGCTGGTAATAAGAACATTAGTGTTCAATCTGAGGTAGGTTAATATGCAACATCAAGAAAAAACAAGATTATAACAACGTGAACGCCTTTAAAACTCAGATAATTTACCTTTTTTTTTTTTAACATGGGGAAATGCCTACGCATACCCGCCTCGCGGGGGCAAGGACGGGTTATGTCGGACTCGCACCGACTAAAACCCCATGGTGTTCCACCTTCGTCGCATATTGGCAGAGCTACGGGAACGCTTTCGCACACTTCCGCGGCCCTACCAGCGACTGCCGCCCCATGGCAGCACCTCCTCGGGAGAGAAATATTCCTCCCCGTTCTCCTTCCCAAGTAAGGCGCACCAGAACACATGGCACGCCTTCCTCCACGGCCTCCAATTGCATCAGCGCAACAGACGCCCCCCGCATCCGATGCGCGAAGGCCATGGGGCCAGGAAAAACGAGCACTTAGAAGTACTAGCCTTCCCGACCCCAGCGGCGGATCTGGTCTATGGCTCCGCCGCCAACCAAGATTCGGCTGCGGAGGATAGGGAGAGCGGCGCCTCGCAATACCGACAATCCTCTCCCCCCGCAGCCCCATCACCACCGCATCAACGGTGCGGCCCCGTTTGAGTCGCGGAGGATAGGGCGAGTGGCGCATCGCCATACCAACACTCCTCTTCCTACGCTACTCCACCTCGGCTGCAGCGGTAGAGGGTGCGGAGTCCCCACTCGCTGCAGTCCACCAGCACACATCCGAAGTGGGCTCCCCAAGCCCACTCGGAGTGGCCACCTCAGGCCGGCCCTTCACCTTCGGGCCAGCCACGTGGGATTCCTCTTTGTTCACCGTGGGAGACCAAGCCACGGCTACTAAGCCCCCCGCCACGACAAGGCGGGAACCCGTTCGGGGGGGCAGATAATTTACCTACTTACCATTTTCTGTCACACATTTTTTTTTGCTATTTATAAGCATGCGACACGCGACGGCATTATTAATGAAAGAGTGGCAATGTGAAGTGCTACTATTATCAATTTCTTTCTTTTACAGACCAAGTGTTTAACAAATAACCAGTATATCTTGCATTAGTAGGCAGTAACTAATAGTGTCTACTTTGAATAGAGGTCTACTTTTTTTTATAAAATAAGGGTGACAAACGAGCACACAGTTCACCTGATGTTAGGTGGACGCTGTGACCCATATAGACATTTACATTTATCCTCGATTAAGTATCAAAACGCAGATCCATTGTTAACCCTGAGGACTAAGATGGAATGCCTCGTTTTCAGTGAGAAAGGGGCTCCGGATCTCTACACTCACTATACGAAACACAGCAATATTAAGCTGCTATTTTACGCTGGTATTCTGTGAGAGCGTGGTCTTTCCCCGGTCGAGCCGACCCATTCGTGCTATAACCATAATAGCTGCAGCGTGGCTCTACCACTTATGAAACTTAACTGAACGATTATTTAAGATCATTGACACTATACGCGAAAAAATCGAATGCCATCAAAAACATATTTTGTAAAAAAAACAAGTCTCGCTTCTTCTACCGTAAAAAGTTGTGAGATCCATGTAATACCAAGTCGGTGAAAACACAATATATCTCACAAGTAATACATGTTATATTAAATTAGATTGCTTAATGTGATTGCCAAGTCAATCTAAATATTTAAAACATAAAAGATTATTAACATTGATATGGTCATTATAAAATATTGATAGGTTAGTTAATTACGTAATAACTTAAAACCGAAGGACCCTTAGGTAGGAACTGAATAAATTAACCGACTTGGTATTACATGGATCTCACAACTTTTTAAGGTAGAAGAACTGAGTTGCGAGACTTGGTTTTTTTTACAAGTTATGTTTTTGATGGCATCCCATTTCTTTTTGTAGATAAGATAGTCCTACTTTTTTACCCTTCCGGTACCTTCTACTTCTTGAATATCTACACCTGTTATACATATACAAGAACATTGATTCATTCACTGCAAATGTAACTTTGTAATTCTACTATTGTATATATCTATATAGGTAATTACAAAGTTATTTATGCAGTTGGTGTATCTTGAAAACTGGACCGAAATTAACAAATATTTTAGTTTTTCCTTGATTTATACACTAAACGCTAATAGTATTCTAAATTTGAAGCTTCTATGTCCGCTAGAAGTGCCTTAGAGTATTGATGATCTGTCAGTCAGTGAGTGAGAAAATTAAGAAACTTTAACTAGTTATAATTCTTAAACTACTGGTTCAAATTGAATGGAATTTGAAATATAGCATGTTTATACAATACCTACTACGAAAATTCAGGCTTCTAGTTTTATTGACTACGAAGTTATAGGGGGTCGAAAATGGCCTGAGTTGCTTCGAGAAAAGTATGGTACGGTCGTGCCGCTTTTTTGCTCGACTTGGCGGGGGCACTGCTGTGCCCCCAGATACTGCTAAGGTGTGTTCTGGTCGCTAGTCACAATAAATCTGTAACTATGGAGCCAGTAACCAGGTACCTAATTATCTGGATAAATACCTATAAGTAATAATATATCTTAACTTTCGTTATCCTTGGGAACAGTAAATAATGAGAAGTCGACATTGCAATTGTTATTTAAGCACCCGTATGTAGTACCTCAGAAAAATACCTTTTTTGTCAACGTAAGGCGCGTGTAATATCAGCCGCGCGAGTGACAACCTCATTGAATTAGTACCGTGTTAGGGGAGCGCGCAACGTAGGTGCTATCATGCTAAAACGCGGAGTGAGACAGGCCTGGTAATAGCTCGCAGTTACAATGTTGGCAGTGTTTCACCTCTGTGCCTTGCAAAGCACGTAAAGTCGTTGGTCTCGCACCTGGTTTTTGTCCGGGTGTGTCAGATTGCCGCTCCATCGGACTATGAGAGTGAGGCAGTAGAGTGTACACGTACTTGCGCACACACGTGCACAATCCTCTCCGGTTGTTTGACCACGCTCTCACAGAATACCAGCGTGAAATGGTAGCTTAATGCTGCTGTATTTCGTATGGTGAGTGTAGAGAACCGGAGACCCTTTTTACTGGAAATGAGGCATTCCATCTTAGTCCTCATGGGTGACAACGCATTTGCATTTTGATTCGTATTCGAGGATAGATGTAGATGTCTATAGGCCACAGCAACCACTTACCATCAGGTGGACTGTGTGCTCGTTTGTCACCCTATACTATTAAAAAAAATACTAGTCTCCGACTGCGCTGGCTTCAGGCGTTGTAAAGGATTCATCACCTCTTTCTTTCCAATGCGGCACGTAAAAGGTGACTATGGAAGACGCTAGAAAAATCTTCTTACACTTTATGGTAATCCATTTCGTTTACTCCAAACGTAAAATACCCAGGACGACAAGGGGCAACAGCGAAGGTGTGTCAAAAACACCTCGTAATGTTTTACGTGACTGAGCCACACTGCAGCTATATTATGGTGTTAACACGAATGGGTCGGCTCGACCGGAGAAGGACCACGCTCTCACAGAATACCAGCGTAATATAGCAGCTTGATGCAGCTGTGTTTCGAATGGTCAGTGTGGAGAACCCGAGACCCCTTTTTACCGGAAACAAGGTATTTCCATCTTAGTCTTCAGGAGTGACAACGCATCTGCATTTCGATTCTTAACTGAGGAAAGGTGTTGATGTCAACGGACCACAGAAACCACTTACCATCAGGTGTGTATTATTCTATAAAAAAATTGTCAGTCGCCTCCAAGCGTGACGATGAAGGCAAATCCTTCTTACATTGGTAGTGACCCATTTCCAGTAATGGACTTTTAGGCGCTATAAGGAATTAAACACTGATTTGTTCTTACAGGGGTCCGTTTGAATGCCTCCAACCTTCTAACCTGATAGCGGATGGAACCTTGTCACCAAATATTCTTCTCCTGTTGCGAGTATTCCATTCACTACAGAGACGAGCACACCAGGAGACGGAAAGGATTACGATGTCAAGTCTGCGAGAAACCACTTAACGCTGTAGATGAGAACCAGTCGTTATACAATTGTGAGGTGAGTGAAAACTAAATATACAGGCTGTTGTAACTTTATCATACAATAAACGTGTATAGGACTCTGTCCGAGTAGGTACCTCAACTTCACCATCGCACATCTCGAAAAAACTCGCGATACCATCCATACCATATGACAGCAGACATATATATACGCATAAATATATTATTTTTATTAATTACCATCGTAAAATTGATAAAATTAGGGATGATAACAACTAAGTACCTACACATGTTTTATTGCATTGGTGACAAACGAGCACACAGTCCACCTGATGGTAAGCCCCTCAATCTCCAGCTAAAATTATTGACAACGCTGACGCGCTTCGCAGTGACGCGGCGTTGCTAAAACTAACCTAACATGGTATTTGTCGTACATTTATTTTCAGTAAAATTCATTATAAATTTCAATATAATACTTGTTTCTGTTTATTTATTATGTTATATTACTTGTTTTAGGGGTTTTACTTCATTACAAAAAGATTTTAATCGGAATTTGATAATAAAAAATGTACATACCAAGTGCAGGTCGGCAACTGTGAAAATCACAATTATTTCTATATATTACTAGAAATTATTTACGTATAAAAATAAATTATATTCACACAAAAACGTATATAACAATTTTATAATAAAACACTATACTAAACACTAATAAATATTCATAGTTTCCAACCCTATAAGGCAGCAGGACCTGACGGCTTATTCCCGGCACTTCTTCAGTGGGGGGGGGGGGGGGGTAAAGTCCTAATAGTCGGACTTGTTGCCATAATGAGAGCATGTCTGGCTCTTAAATATGTTCCTAGGGGATAGAGGGAAGTGAAAGTCACGTTCATACCCAAACCAGGTAAGAACGACTATACAGACCCTAAATCCTACAGACCTATTAGCCTCACATCCTTTCTCCTAGAGACGATGGAGAGGATGTGTGAACGGGAGTTGAGATGGTCGGCGCTAATTAACTTACCGCTACACGAAAAACAACACGCCTATAGCTTAGGTAAATCAACAGAATCGGCACTTCACCAGGTAATAACAAAGATTGAAGAGGCCATCCAAAACAAAGCAATATGTCTAGGCTCCTTCATAGACATAGAAGGTGCTTTTCACAGAACAAATTTCTCCAGCATAAAAGGTGCCCTAAGTAGACATAATGTTGAACCGGCACTGATTGACTGGATAGTAAACATGCTCAGTACACGAACAATAAAGGTTGCTGGTGAATCTCAGACAATTCAGATCATGAAACGATGCCCGCAGGGTGGGGTTCTTTCACCTCTCCTGTGGAATATGGTCATTAATGAACTCATCAGCAAATTCAATGCTAACCATTTCTACACAGTCGGTTATACAGATGATCTGACAATACTGGTCTCTGGTAAGACGGCAAGTATTGTGTGCGACCTGACCCAAGCGGCTCTCCGTATTGTGGAGAGATGGTGCAGGGAATATGACCTAACCGTTAATCCAAATAAAACGGTTATAGTAATGTTCACACAAAAACGAATGCTGAATAACTATCATCTTCCAAGTCTTTTCAGCACAAAACTCCAACTTTCTTCCGAGGTAAAATACCTAGGTCTTACCTTGGACAGTAAACTTAATGGGAACAAACTTATAGAAAACAAAATCAGCAAAGCTAGTTTAACTTTCTGGCAGTGCAGAAACATGATCGACAAACGATGGAGTTTCACGCCAAAAATTATACTGTGGCTGTACAAAACTGTAATTCGGCCCATGATCACATACGGTCTGTATGGTGGACCAAAACCAATGAAGCCACCACTGTACAAAAGCTTCAGCGTTACCTAGAGATTAGCTTGTATGGCTGCCACGGGCTGCATAAGGACAACACCAACAGCAGCTTTGGAAGCTATGCTGGAACTAACACCGCTTCATCTACATATACAATAAGAAGCAACTTTAGCTGCCATTAGACTCAAGACCCTAAATCTTTTAAGTAAAAGTAGAGTCCCCTATACAGATATAATAGATAGAATTTACTCAAAAATTCCTGTCTTACAAGCCAAGTATGATAGGATCCCAAAACAATTTGTATTCGATAAGAAGTACAGGATACAATTGAAGGAAACTGACCATCTGGAAGGATTGGGTCCAAGAGAGCTCAAAGTTTTCACGGATGGCTCTAAGACAAATGAAGGTGTGGGGTCTGGGGCTTTCTCTGAAGACCTTAATATCCACATATGCACACCGCTGGGTACCCATAACACAGTCTTCCAGGCTGAATGCATGGGTATCATCCAAGCGGCCATAGCAATATATGCTAGGAAGGTGAAAGACTTCTCCATCAGAATACTGACTGACAGTATGGCGGTACTACAAGCTCTGAGTTGCAATGTGACGAACTCGGGACTGACATACAAGTGCCATCAACGATTGAATGAGGTATGTAAGCACAACAATGTGACTCTGAATGGATTAGGTTAGATAGGGACAAGTTCTAGACGCAACGATGCAGCAGATAAACTGGCCAGAAGGGGATCAGCCCTAGCAACTATAGGGCCGGAACCAATAATAGCAATCCCCTTTGGCTACCTTCGTTCACTGGTACGTAGATACTTCAATAATTTAGACGCTCAGCTTTGGAAAAATTTAGTAGACTGTAGACAAGCTAGGGAGGCCCTGCCTGAAATAAACAGTCGTCTAACCAAGGTTCTAATGAGACTGAACAAGCCACAGATCAGGATAGTAACAAGTGCTATCACAGGACATGGCTCTTTTAACAAACATTTGTTCACCATAGGTGTTACTGACAGCCCCTTGTGCAGGGCATGCATGGGAGAGGAAGAAACGGCGGCTCACGTGTTGCTGACATGTCCAGAAGTCGCTTCATACAGGGCTAAACATCTCGGCACGCCGAGATCGCTCCCCCGAAGTTGCTTGCAACATCAAGGGACTGCTGAGCTTCTTCGGGGAGATGTCATGGCTCGAATAAGCATATTATTCCTGCCCACACGCAAAATACGCGCTTAGACGTGGAGTTGCGGAAAACAGCCCGTCGTAAACTAAACTAAACTAAACACTAATAAAACATTAGAAAAATCCAAAAATTAACACAATAACATGCCACACGAAATAGGCGTACGAAATTAACGTAGATTATAAATAAATTACCATAGATTTTCTGATTTTTTATTGCATTAAAGGATAGGAAATTTCACATTCACACAAAAAAACCAAAAATTGGACATTGGCAACAACATGTTTTGAATAAGAAAGCAATAACAATGCCAAGCGTGTCAATTATGGAATAAACCCCCCTTGAGCTATCTGTGGGAGGCTTATGTTAAACAGTGGGCTTATGATGGATGAATTCCATTGATACCAGTGAGAGTCGAACCCGGGTTTTTGCATGCTGTGAATTTTTTAGTGATCTCTTAGCTCCGGAGCTACTACGCTTCTAAGTGTGCAGTATTCACATGAATATAAGAATTTAATAATAATAATAATAATTCTTTATTGACATTTTCGTAGTTCACATACTTTTTACAAATATATACATTGGGTGCGTTTGGCAGAAAAAAGCGATAGGAAGCGCTTGTTAGCAAAATGGCGATCGTAAGTGGTAAGCGCTGTCAAATCGTAAGTAGCTACTTTCCTCTAAGACACGAAGTTAGTTTTAACCGGGGAACCTAACCTAATTTAAATATATGTAAAGTATTCACATTAAAAACTTACCAATCATGAATTTTTAATAACATGTATATGTTTATTCATGCCATTATATTACTTAAAACTAATATTGCACAAAATAACTTATAAACTCTACTTCAAACAAACAAATTAAAGCAAAATGGCGGATTGTGTCAGCGCTACTGAAGTTAGCGAACGTGTCCTGGCCGAAAACTGCTTAGTTTCGCCATTTTGCTTACAAGCGCTTGCTAGCGCTGTTTTCTGCCAAACGCACCCAATACATTATGAGGACCAATTTGAAATGGGTAGAAACCAGAGCCTCCTAGCTAGGTTACTTAGTAACCTGTATTTAGGAGATACAGTCCCATCCCCCCTGTTGATTAGGAATACATAGTTGTATTGTTTAAAATTATTTTTTTATATAGAAATATTTATAATTTTTTAATGTATTGTTTTAGATTTGCGGAGCCGGCTTCCAAACTAGCAAAGAGCTATTGGATCACAGTACAGTAGCTCATGTAAAACTAAAGCCATTTGAGTGCAAATTATGCCACAAGCGATTCACACAGCCAGTCGGCCTGGAGCAGCACACTCGTATGCACACAGGCTACCGTCCCTACTCTTGCACGGTCTGTTCCAAAACCTTCACACAGAAGTCGGGACTGGATCAGCACACCAGAACTCATACCAAAGTTAGACCATACCGCTGTATAATATGCAACAAGACTTTTAGCCAATCGGTCACCCTGAAGCAACACATGCGGACTCACACGAATGTGTCCCCCTTCCAGTGCGGGATATGTGAAAAGCGTTTTAAACAAAGCAGTCATCTGAACTACCATCTGAAAAACCACAACCCGACAACCATGACAGAGAAGCAGAAGAATAAATATGTGGAGTTGGTTGGTTTAATTGGACAAAATGAATCCCAACAGAATCACTCCGAACAGAATGAATCCGAAACCATTGAAAATATAGTGGAATGTGAACCAGAGGTAGAACAAATCTTAGAAAATCAAGTTGAAGTGGAAACTGAATATGTTTTGAATGAATGTGAAATTGAAGACAATGAGATATGGTGTGTTACTGTAGAATAATAGTGTGAAAACAACAAATATGAACTCTTGTGTATTGATATTGTTAAATTATTACGAAAAGTGTATTTGACACAGCTAAAAGCTGGAGTGCGGACATATCTTTTTTTTACGTGGGGAAATGCCTACGCATACCCGCCTCGCGGGGGCAAGGACGGGTTATGTCGGACACGCACCGACTAATACCCCATGGTGTTCCACCTTCGTCGCATATTGGCAGGGCCACGGGAATGTTTTCGCACACATCCGCAGCCCTACCAGCGCCTGCCGCCCCATAGCAGCACCTCCTAGGGAGAGGAATATTCCTCCCCGTTTTCCTTCGCAGATAAGGCGCACCAGAACACATGGCGCGCCTTCTTCCACGGCCTTCAACTAAACCGGTGCAACGGACGCCCCCGTATCTGATGCGCGAAGGCTATGGGGTCAGGAAAAACGAGTACTCAGAAGCACTAGCATTCCCGACCCCAGCGGCGGATCTGGTCTATGGCCGCCAACCAAGATTCGGCTGCGGAGGGTAGGGAGAGCGGTGCCTCGCAATACCGACACTCCTCTCCGGTGCGGCCCCGCTAGAGTCTCGTAGGATAGGGCGAGTGGCGCATCGCCATACCAACACTCCTGTTCCTCCGCGACTCCACCTCTGCCGCAGCGGTAAGGAGAGAGGACACCCCACTTGCCACACCCCACCAGCACACTTTCGAAGTGGGCTCGCCAAGCCCACTCGGAGTGGCCACCTCGGGCCAGCCATGTGGGTTCCTCTTTGTTCACCGCGGGTGAGCAAGCACACGGCTACTAAGCCCCTCGCCACGACAAGGTGAGAACCCGTTCGGTGGGAGGGCGGGGGGGGGTGCGGACATACCTAGGTTAAGCAGACTAAATTCAGTTGATTGTGGTTGGTCAAACTTTAGGTGTATTCTATTTATTTATGGTATGTATGGTAATGGCCAGAAGAAATAATTAGCCTAGATTTCTTAGGTTTACATAAAGTTATGGTTAATACCTGAAAAACTAGTAAAAAATATAGTTTTACCTGACTCTTTTGGTAAAGTCCGTGAGGCCATTAGATAGATAACTCTTTATTGCATTTAAACCAATAATAATAATTATGGGAGAAAATTAAAATAAGAAGTATTTCCTTAAATATTTTTTAAAGTTTGTAAAGATTGCTCCTACTGAATGTATAGTAGTAATATATTTCAAATCCGGACTGCTTGCAAAGTGAATGACTTATTATAGTCGACCAAATCTAGAAATAAATTTTGACAAACAACAGTAGCCTAATGACAGGGCGCGGACCGCGAACTCAAAAAGGTCGTGGGTTCGAATCCGCCATTCGACTACTGGCGTGAACCACTCGTAACACAAGCAAATTTAGCTTACCACGAGTGGTTAAGGGGAATATTAGTAATGTTTATAGCATTGTTAATATTCTTTTTTTTTTTTAAATAAACACCACTGTAATATACATAGCGACATGTTATTGAAACGACGTCAAGTAAAAAAAGTTAATACTGTTTATTTTTTAATATTTTGCTTTGTTTGAAAAATTCAACTTTAAATAGAGATAAAAAAGCTATACACGTTGTAATGAAAAATAGATAACTTCATAATTCTTCGGATTTACGTAAAAGGTTATTTTAAATCGTGTGAGTACGATTGTGCAAAGTTATTGCGGAATGATCAATGTGAAATGTCAAAAGGTATTTCTTAGATTTGGTTGACTATAAATAAAGTAACGCTGCAAGAAGTGTAATTTTGTTTATGTGTTTATAAACATATATATCTTAATATATATAAATTACGTGTCACGTTGTTTGTTCGCGATGGACTCCTAAACTACCGAATCAACTTTAATCAAATTTGCACACCGTGTGCAGTTTGGCCCAACTTTAGAGATAGAATAATGTTTTAGCCATGAGTGACCCACAATTTTTTTTGCGAATTTAAGGATTTTTAATAGGACTTGAAAAAGGGTCGTCGAAAAGGGCAGAACAACGTCTGCCTGGCAAGCTAGTAACATATAAAACACACACACACACACACACACACACACACACACACACACACACACACACACACAAATATATATATATATATATATATATATACAAATAATTTTTATATTTTGTTATTTCAAATACAACATAGTTTTTTTATTTTATATTTAAAATACTAAATGCAAAATACGTATATCTACAAAATGCTTTATATATATATAAATACTTTTGGTTTTAAACTATTTTTATTTTGTTAAAAAGTTTATGTATTTCAGCCAGCTAACAGGCTGATAAATTTACTTTGATAACTTACTTAAATTAAATTTACTTAACAGATTTTAATAAAATAATTTGCTCAAATACACTGTCGCACACATCTTTCTCCTGTGTGGTCTCATAATCATGCCGCCATAAGATAAAAGCTTTTTTACCGGCTCAGAGCAAGGCAAGCAGGTATTATGTTTCAAGAATAACATATGTAGGGTATTTAGTTAATGATTGCAGGATGACATCATTATCCTTCAAATATTGCAAAGATTCCAGGTCAATAGTGGTGTTTGCATTTGCACTATCACTAGCTAGTGGGGAATCCAAATCATCATAGAACGTGTAGTAGGATTCATTTTTTTCTTTCTTGTGTAATGATTGAGGTGTATTATTTGCATCTTTATGATCATTTCTTAGTTTTGTCACTTCTGCGAGGAACACTTCCTTTATATGTTCTCTATTTCCTTTTGGCACCCATTTTAATTTAAGAAAAGGATATGACACTGCTGCCAAAATTGCATCTTTAGCTTTAGGAACCTTCCAATCATGAAATTTTCCAAACCTCTTTTCTAAGCTTTTTTTTATCTCTTATCTGTCTCTAACAGTATATGGGAGTGTCCATTTGTAATGAATGAGAGATTTTTTGTATTCTCATTAACTCAGGTAGCAGGCATCCATAAAAATGTTCCTTTATCTCCCTCTAAGCTTTTGATACCTTCTGCTATGGATTTTGTACATTTGGTATATTCAATTAGAAACTGCAATTCAATTTCTTTAAAAACCGGCAATCCTAGTTTTATTAAGGTTTCATTTAAAGTTTCCTGGACTGTCAAAAGATCCATAATACAGTTATAATATGAATTCCATCTTGTTGGACATGGACTTGTCGGAGATTTCCCGGTAGTTTCAAAATATATTTCAGATGCTTTGGGGGACCTGGAACACAAATTCCAAGTTGCTTGGAATTATGGGTTCTATCAGACAGGAAGCGGTCACGCGTTCAAGTGTTCCGCGTTCGCGTTTTGCATTCGAGCGTTCAGTTGCTCACGAATCACGACCGCCAATGTTCTGGTTGACCGACGCGGTCAGAATGGCTGCTGTCTAGGTATGTCTATATAACGTAATACAACACACTGAACGCAGAACGCGAACGCGAAACGCTTGAACGCCTTCTGTCTGAGGGTTCTATCAGACAGGAAGCGGTCACGCGTTCAAGCGTTCCGCGTTCGCGTTTTGCGTTCGAGCGTTCAGTTGTTCACGAATTACGACCGCCAATGTCCTGGTTGACCGACGTGGTCAGAATGCCTGCTGTTTGCGTATGTCTATATAACGTAATACAACACAATGAACGGATAACGCGGAACGCTTGAACGCCTTCTGTCTGAGGGTTCTATCAGACAAGAAGCAGTCACGCGTTCAAGCGTTCCGCGTTCGCGTTTTGCGTTCGAGCGTTCAGTTGCTCACGAATTACGACCGCCTGTGTCCTGGTTGACCGACGTGGTCAGAATGCCTGCTGTTTGCGTATGTCTGTATAACGTTATACAACACAATGAACGGATAACGCGGAACGCTTGAACGCCTTCTGTCTGAGGGTTCTATCAGACAAGAAGCAGTCACGCGTTCAAGCGTTCCGCGTTCGCATTTTGCGTAAAGTATACCTGATAGAGCCTAGAGAATAGGTCAGCTCGACAGGGGAAGGACCACGCTCTCACAGAATACTAGCGTAAAATAGCAGCTTAACGCTACTGTGTTTCGTATGATGAGTGTAGAGAATCGAAGACCCATTTTGCTGGAAACGAGGCATTCCATCTTAGTCCTCACGGGCGATAACGCATCTACATTTAGATTTTTGGTTGAGGACAGATGTAGATGTGTATGGGCCACAGCAACCACGTACCATCAGACGAACTGCGTGCTTGTTTGTCACTCTATCATATAAAGAAAAGAGTTTCTTGTCTGTCTGTCTGTCTTATTTTAGTCGTGGTAGCTCAGACGGTTAACGCTCACACTCGCCGGTAGAGACTACAAAAAATGTTTTGTTGCGATATGCGTTTTTCGTACGTGCTATAACTTCTCGTTTTTCTTTTATTATTTTATCTACATTCTGTTAACACTGGAGCATAAACGCGGGAAATTACTATATAGTGCTACACATAAAAGTGTATATAACGTAATAAAGTATTTTGAGGAACAGAAAAATCTGGAACGTTAATCACCCATTGCAATATAGTAATGCATGGGCGGGTATGGCAACAGGACTTTCACTCGAATGAAAAAAGATGGTGTATAGTTCATAAAAGATAGCTTGATCTCTGCGGCAGCTGTCAGTAAAAATCACGCCTATGAAGTCCTGAATTTCTTAGTACTATAGACAGTACCTGTCAATGTCATACTTTATGGGCATGCACTAATTAGGTCGGCATGCCCATGAAGTATGACATTGACAGGTACTGTCTGTCTGTACTACTAAGAAATTCAAGACTTCATAGGCGTGATTTTTACTGACAGCTGTCGCAGAGATCAAGCTATCTTTTATGAACTATAGTATATGTCAATGTACACATCACTAGTATATAAGGTTAGTCTGTGAATATAGCATAGAGCACTCTTACCTATGGTGTAGAATAGGAAGCCACTACATTGGGGCCAATTTAGGCGATTTATCGCCTTTCAGGCTATCTCGAAAGGTGTCGGGGCGACTAAAAATTGCGGTTGGCGACTGGTCGCAATTTAGGAATTTAG